CTATCATAAAACTAGGCCAGTCTCTACTCAACATAGTGAAAACTTTTAAAAATAAAGACGAAAGCAGTTAATATTAAAGAAAAGCCTTAATCAGCAGCCGCCGTCGTGACCAGACGCACCTGGATCTGAACACAAGGTGCAGGGAGTAACATGAGTACATCCAACTCAGTAAGTAACAAGTCCAACCTTTGGACTTAAAGGTAGTGATGAACTAAACCGATATAGTTAACAACAGAAATAATAGTGCAGAAACGTAGGCATGCTTTCAAATTAAATAGGCAACTCAAAATAGTAAAGTAGATTTGATCCAAACAATGTAAAGAATATAACTCTTCTATATCTACATGCCAATGCACATGCTGTATGTGATGCACCATGATGTCAGCTTCATGTGCTCACACTCTCGAATGCTCAACCACTCGGTACTGTATGTGACACATACGGCCCAGGAAAGATCCATCCCGGAATATATACATCACTAACCATAAGTGACCCAGTACCAAGGAAGACCAATCCAGCCCTGTGGAGAAGATCCAATTCCAGGTATCTAGTACTTCGAACAAGATCCATGTTTAGGAAAGATCCATCCCTCAATAATATCAACCGCGCTCACTAGGGGTGTGTACAGACTACGGAGGGGCTCTTCCAGCCCAAGCGCTATCATAAATCAGTATAACCGCTGTGACGTGAAGCCCGGAGGGTTTTGCAGCCTCTCGAAGATAAGTACATACGTCTCCGTAACGATCCGATAGACTCTACTAAACTTGCTCATGACTCGTGAGACCTATGTATCCTAGGCTCTGATACCAACTTGTCACGACCCAAAATCTAACCGTCGTGATGGTGCTGATGGTGGAACTAGGCAAGCCACAATTCAATATCTCAACACTGTAAAATCTTTGAACATAAAGACGGAAGCAATCTAATATTTACGAAAAGCCTTTTTAAAAACTGAAATAATCCAAAATACGATACAATCCATCCTAAAATCGGGGTGTCACAGAGTACATAAGCATATAAACCAGAATACAGTCCACTATAGTGTCTAGGGAATAAAAACTGAAATACAGATAGAGATAAAGAAGGAGAGTCAAGCATGCGAACGCCATGCAGCTACCTCGATAGTCTCGGAACTCTGATGCCTCAATCAGCAGCCGCCGTGACCAGAAGCGCTGGATCTGCACACGAGGTGCAGGGAGTAACGTGAGTACAGCCAACTCAGTAAGTAACAAGTCCCACCTTTAGACTGAAAGGTAGTGACAAACTCAAACGGTACAGTTACAATAAATATAACTATGTAGAAACGTGGGCATGCTTTCAAGTTAAATAGATAGTTCGAAACATTAAAATAGATCAAAATTGAACAATGTGAAGAATATAACTCTTCTACTTCTACATGCCAATGCACATGCTGTATGTGATGCACCATGCTGACAGCCTCATATGCTCATGCTCTCAAATGCTCAACCACTCGGTACTATATATGGCCCATACGGCCGAGGAAAGATCCATTCCGGAATATATACATCACTGACCATCAGTCGCCCAGTACCGAGGAAGGTCAATCTAGCCCTATGGAGAAGATCTATCTCCAAGTATCAAGTGCTTCGGACAAAATCCATGTCCAGGAAAGATCCACCCCTCAATAATATCAATCGCGCTCATTGGGGGTGTGTGCAGAATCCGGAGGGGATCTTACAGCCCAAGAGCTATCACAATATTATAATAAACCGCTGCGGCGTGCAGCCCGATCCCATAACTGTCACTCATAATCAGGCTCTCGGCCTCATTCAGTCATCAACCTCTCCAATCTCACTCACGAGCTCACAATGTCATGAAAACTAGCCCGAAACAATGATATGATGTATCTATAAATAACAACTGAGATTAAGATATGATATGAAATGAATGAATATGACTGAGTACAAAATATCAATGAAATCAGTAAGGTGACAACAAGTAACGACCACTATGGGTCCCAACAGTACCAGTATAAAGCCTAAACATGATATCTAGCATGATTGACAACTCAATAACTTTATCCATGATTAAAACATGGATATCAACAAGATAGAGTCACTATACAATGCCATGGAATCAACCAGGTCACAATTCTCACGGTGCACGCCCGCACGCTCGTCACTTTGCATGTGCGTCACCTCAATACCAATCACATAACACATAATTCGGGTTTCGAACCCTCAGAACCAAGTTTGAAAGTGTTACTTATCTTAATCCGAGCAAAACACTACTATAAAATGCCTTTGCCTCTCAAATCGGTCTCCAAACGTTTTGATTCTAGCCACAATAGTACAATACAATCAATTTAGGCTAAAGGATCAATCCCACAAGAAAAGTACTAAATTATAGCCAAAAATCCGAAATCGGCTCAAACCCGACCCCGGGCCCACATCTTGAAATCCAACAAAAGTCACAATACCAGAAAGCGCATTCACTCACGAGTCTAACCACACCAAATTTACTCAAATCCGATAACAAAATCCCATTCATAACCTAAAAAATCTAACTCGAGAACTCTTCCTTTTCCCCCCCCCCCCCCCAAAAAATTTTCACCCCAAATCACAAATTAGATGATGGAATTAAAGACATAATCATGGAATTTAGCCAAAACCAAGTAAGTATCACTTACCCCAATCAACTCCTTGAAAATACCTTCAAGAATCGCCCAAATCCGTGGTCTCTAGCTCAAAGTATGAAAAATAGGTTCAAACCCTTGTTTTGAAATTTAACACTACTGCCCAGTTATTCCTTCTTTGCAAACGTGGCCATCCTCTCGCGTTCGCGTAGACCAATTTGTCTGCCTCTCAATTTTAACTCTTCGCGAACGCGACCAACGCTTCGTGTACGCGAAGTTTTACCAACTCTACACATCGCGAACGCGACCCATACCACGTGAACGCGTAGACCAAGGACCTGGGGTCCTCAGTTGCCTCAATATCTCTTCGCAAGCGCGACACCTCTCCCGTGTTCGCGATGCACACACAGACCATACCTTCGCGTTCGCATCCTTCTTCGCGAACGCGAAGAACAAAATCTTCCCAGCTCACAAACACCCTTCGCGAACGCAAGGCTCCTCTTGCGAACGCGTAAGAGGAAACCAGAAGAACACACCAACAGATATCAGCCAATAACTTAAGTCCAAAAATGATACGTTAACCACCCGAAACTCACCCGAGGCCCCTGAGACCTCAACCAAACATATCAACAAGTCCCAAAAAAATCATACGAACTTAGTCGAATCCCCAAATCACCTCAAACAACATCAAAAACATGAATTACATATGGATTCAAGCCTAATGAACTTTGAAGTTTTCAAATTCTAGAAACGACGTCAGAACCTATTAAATCACGATCGATCGACCTCAAATTTTGTACACAAGTAATAAATGACACAACGAACCTACTTCAACTTCCGAAAATCCAATCCGACCCCGATATCATAAAATCCACTCCCGGTCAAACTTCCCAAAATTCCAACGTTCGCCAATTCAATCCTAATTCTACTACGGACCTCCAAATTACAATTCGGACGCGCTCCTAAGTCCAAAATCACCTAACGGAGCCATCAAAATTCAAATCTGAGGTCGTTTACACATAAGTCAACATCTGATTAACTTTTCCAACTTAAGCTTTCAATTAAGAAAGTAAATGTGTCAATTAATTCTGAAATCACTCCGGACCCAAACCAACTAACCCGATAAGTCATATAACAGCTGTAGAACCCAAAAGGAGCAGTAAATGGGGGAACAAGGCTACAACTCTCAAAACGATCGACCGGGTCGTTACATTTTTTGTGTGCACCACACATTTAAAGTCTTTGGGTGAAGGTCAAACATGTATTTTGTAGGTACATTATCAACATAATGTTCAAAATATCACACATTTTAAGTTAAGTGTTTGAGTGAAATCTTTTGACAAGTTTGAGGGGTTGTCGTCAATGTATTCGGCATAAGTCAAAAATATTTAATTCTTTTTTGGCAAAAGTATATATTTCTTGCAAATTTTAAAAATACTTCATATTCAAATATTACTCACTTCATTTCAAGTTATAACTGTATTTGATTGGATAAGGAGTTTTAAAAAGAAAAAAAATTGAAATGGTCTAAAACATACAATGATATTTGTTTGAATATAAATGTATGCCACTAAGGATAAAATAATTAGTTTAAAATTAATATGTATATATATATATATATATATTACTCCATTTCTTACTAACTAATAAGAAAATAGTACAATTTAAAAGGAAATCAAGGTACTATAGGGAAATGTTAAACATAAGTAATCCCAACTTTGTTAACTATTATGAGTTAGTGATGAGATGAATAAGATCCTTTTATGTCATGCGTTTCCTAATCCAGCTTTGAATATAATTTTTTTAGTAACGAGCAAATCCCCCTTTAACGAACCTTACACAAAGAGAATCTAAATTAATAAAAAATCCCAAGTACAAGACACGCACAAAGTCAAATCATTAAGGAGCCGTTTGGTAGGATGCATTAGAGAAAATAATACATGCATTATCGTTTGGTATTACTAATTCCTTGTTTGGTACACTTTTTCAACCTATGTATTACTAATGCAAGTATATTAGTTATACAAACTATTTGATATTATCCTATGTATAACTAATACATAACAAACCATAATATTAGCAATATCAAGGCTATTAATGCACGTATTAGCATAGTTAAAGACATATCATCCTTAAAGTCCCTTAAAGCTAAAGAATATGGAGGACATTACTACTAATTTCTTAGAAGTTATGCAATACATTTTAATTTTTAATACACTACACCAAATATTGGATAACAAATAATCTCTACATAACTAATGATTGCATTACTAACACATGCATTACAAATTCCTACATTACTAATACATTCAGCACTATTCTTATACACACTATCAAACGACCCATAGGTGAAACCAAACAGGAAAAAGTATTAAATTCTTTTTCAGCCTATCACTATCTTTTTTTCTCCTTTTATTATTCTGTTATACCCACCATCTAATTGTGTGTTTCATAAAAAGACAAGTCTCATCTCTCCCATTTGCCTGGATCTTGAATACCAAAATCAATGGCCAAATAAGGATTGTTTTTGCTATTTCCAAAGCTCCCCCACATACACCTTCTCTTTAATTAGGTTTTTTGTTCTTTTTTGCCCCTCTAATTTTGGCAAAAATGTCACCAGCTTTTTGCAAAGCTTGTCCCCCAACATAATCTCCAAAATAGAAAGCCTTGTGCACCACTCAACAGAAATTAGGTCAACCCCATTTTCTTACACATCCATCTCTTTATATTTTGGTTTAATTATTCTGTGAAGTGGGTAATTCTTGAAAATATTGATTGAGGAGTATATATATTCAAAATGGTTAAAGAGAAAATTCAGATCAAGAAAATTGATAATGTTACAGCAAGGCAAGTCACTTTTTCAAAGAGAAGAAGAGGGCTTTTCAAGAAAGCTGAAGAACTTTCAGTTCTATGTGATGCTGATGTTGCTCTCATCATTTTCTCTTCTACTGGAAAACTCTTTGACTATTCTAGTTCCAGGTATGTCTCTGTGTGTGTGTGTGTGTTTGTGTTTTTTTTTTTTTTTTTGTGTGTATATATATATATTGTAAATAAATTCGTGTTCTCTAGTTTCTCATTCTGAAATGCTTTTTTTTTTTTTGGTTGAGCTTATCTCATATACTGATTAAGCTCAGAATGAAATAGATTCTTTGTGTTTTTGCCTTGTAAGTTCGTTGGAGTGATGCATTTTATAGCAAGGTGGGGTACGATAGTTACACTTCCAGTGGCATCAACTATATTATTTAGAAAATGTGTATATTATTTTATACCGAGCAAATATTTGTAATTTGTGGACATGAGTTTCCAAAGCAAAGATACTCTTAAAGGCAACAAAAAGTAAAAAAATAAATCTCTGCTTATTATTCACCGTATAAAATTTAGACATAATTACTCACTGTATAACAGTTCTTATGAATAATCTTTATACATATTATTTAAAAGATGATAGTGGTAACCACTTATGAAGTAATGGGGTGTATGAACCTAGTTATCTAATTGACGATAATTTCTAAAAAATTAAATTTGACAAACGTTTTCTTATAATAAAATGACTAAAATATACTTTACCCGATATTAAGATTAAGAACTGTTGATGTAGATAAAATATTACTAATGCTTCAACATATTGCGGCAGCACTTGTTAATCCTATAGGTAAAAGAAAGCTCATATTGCAGTCAATATCTTTGGAATATTGTAAAATAAAAATTATCAACATCGTTCCAACTTGACCATTCTACCTGAAACAAAGAACTAAACCTGCGTAATTCTTAAATGTAATTGTGTTATTATAAAAAAAATATCAAAATTAATTCTGTATAGAGATAAGCTGAGAAGAAAATTATCATTTTTTAGTAAATTAGTAAATAAATTATCCCAAACCATCACACACTATTCTTATAACAACTGATTACACATGTACGAGCTACTATATACTATTGCAATTCATCAATTTTGTATTTCTATTACAAAAATCTATTAGTACAAAAAAGCAACAGCAATAGTAACTAGCTTTTCTTAAGTATAGTCCTCTCACATTATGCGAACAATCTTTTCACTCGAGCATGCATTTCCCAATGAGCTGACTGAGAAAATGATTGTCAATTTCAATCTATTGTTGATGGGTGCCATAAACAACTATATCATCATGTTCATACTAAATATTTCATTGCTGCTTTGATGTTCCAGCAAAAAATTATACAACACAACACAAGCAACTACAATTCATACTTGCGTGTCTACATCATAATTAATCATGGCTTATCGTAGCATTCTCAGTGTACTTTTCAATGCTCCAAAAGTTCTTTCAATCGTATTGCATGCAGAAGAGTGCATATAGTTAAATAGTTATTTACTATTTTCGACTTTCACTCTTGTAGTCATGCAAAAGGTATTGCAGTTCTTTGTATGGAGCTAAAACTCCTTCGTGCTTTAAAGAACAGGTAATTCATCATACTAGCTAACATCATTAATAATCTAATGTATTTAAAGTTTTATGCCGTGTCGTAGAGAAAGAAATTTTGCCGTTGGGTCAGCAATCATACTTTCTGGTACTTTATTGTCATATGTAGTACCTTCCCACCTAGCTGCAATAAAGGTGAACTGCATATCAAAATCCCATGCGCACATAGGACATTTAACGAAATGTTCACTTTAGGGTTACGATATGCATGTTGCTTGTTTGTTGGGTCCGCTTGTAGATATGTTTCATAATTTGCACATATACAATCCTTCCAAGGCTAAGTGGAGAATTTATCTGATAAAATAAGTTTTTGCAAGAACGAAATACTAGGAGTTTAAAGGAGGTGGCTGGCTAACCTCAATATGAAACCGAGGCCATAAAAAATAATCATGAAACAATTTTAAATTGTACCTTAACGTAAGGCCAAAAACAGTTATTGTGACGAATATTTGGATGTATGTCATATCTTTTGGACATATAACTATTGTTGTCATCTGACTTATTGCCTTAGCGACTGTTTAATGTACCGTTTATTTGTCTCTAGTGAATGTTGAAAATATTCAAACATTCAACTATCTTACGTGTAACAGTAGCCCGGAAAAATAGTCACAAACTTCTCAATTGGAACACACGTGGATTGATGTTCGGTTTGGATTTTATGAAACGACCCCCTCTTTTGGTTATACCATATCCAAACCACGCATGTTTCAGTTAAGGAGTATGTGACTATTTTCTTGACTGTTGTTGTACGTAATGATAGTTAGCGCTTGGCAAGTGTTGTTTTCAACATTGACTCGAGATATTAATCGACACGTTAGAACAACCGCTAAGGCAATTAGTCGGATGGCATCAATAGTTATCTGTCCAAAAGAATATGACTGTCATACATCCTAATATTCGACATAATAACTGCCTTTGGCCTTACTTTAAGGTAAAATCCAAACATGTTCATGATTATTTTTTGTGGTCTTGATCTCACTTGAAGGTTAGTCAGCCAACTCTTATAAACATCTAGTGTTTCATCTTTGCAAGAAATTCTATTTAATGGATTCTCTATTTGGTAAGATTGTGTTGGTGAAATTGACGGAACACTCAAGAAACAAGCAGCAAGCATATCGTAATCGCAAAGGAAACACTTCGAACAATGTCCTATGTGCTTGCAACTTTGATATGCAATTCACCTTTATTGCAGCTGGATGGGAAGGTACAAAACATAATAGTAGAGTGCTTAAGAATGCGATTATTGACCTAGTGCCAAAGTTTCATTTCTACCACACGGTATTAGACTTTAACTACATTAGATTTTAATGTTGTTAGCTAGTTTAATGTTATTTCATTTTGGTAGATAAATATTATGATATTGACGCTGGTCTTCCAAACACGAAAGTATTTTTAGCTCCATACAAAGAAATGTGATAATTTGCAGGACTATAAAGGGAGCGAAAGAGAAACGAAACGATAAAAAACTATTTAACTAGGCACTCCTCTCTGTGCAAAACTTTTGGAGCTTGAATAGTAGATATAGGGCATGAATAATTACGATATCGATCTGGAAGTATGAATTGTAATTATGTTGCATAATCTTTTGCGGAAACATCAAAGCAGTGATGAAATATTTATAGAGTATGAACATGATGATATGATCGTTTATGGCACAAACCAACAACTGACTGAGATTAGCAATGTTGCTTCATCGGCTGATGAAATGCTTACTACTCTACAAAAGCACTTTGAAAAGACTAGAATAGACTTAAATATTAAGGAATTGTACGGTGAAAAGCCTTATTGACTTGTTTGCACACCATACTGGAGTTTCTTGTAGAGTCTACACATACAACAAGCGTTTATAAGCTGTCCCAACAAGTTGGAGTCAACTGATCATGTATCGCCATTTTGATAATCTCGAGATGATGTGATATTAAGATTTATTTTGTTCTGTGAAGCATGAAAGAAATTCTTGAAAGGCATAATTTGCTCTCAAAGAATCTGCATAAATTGGAGCAGCCTTCTCTTGAGCTGCAGGTAAATTTCTTGATCCATTGTACTTTCAGAGTTTTTGTGTTTGCATTTGTAGTTATTTCGACTTTCTACTTCCTTTTGTTCTAAAGATGGAAAGTACTCTTTGCAGCTGGTAGAGAACAGCGATTACGCTAGATTAACCAAGGAAATTTCTCAGAAAAGCCATCAACTGAGGTATAGATAGTTCTGTCAATAAGTTTTTTAGTTAAATATGCAAAATGAGATTTAACATGAAAGGGAAACAGGCAAATGAGAGGAGAAGAGCTTCAAGGATTAAGTATTGAGGAGTTGCAACAATTGGAGAAGTCTCTTGAAGCTGGATTGAGCCGCGTCATTGAGAAGAAGGTTAATCATTGTTTTAGATGCGTGGGACAGAGGGCTCGTAGTATCCCCTTTGATTGATCTAACCTTTTTCCCCTGGGGACGGAAATAAAAAATCGGGCAGGATTCGCTCTGTTTATGTAGATAGATTGCTAGAGCTAATTAATGGTCTTCATAAATTTTGCTTTGCTTATTTTCTCAGGGTGACAAAATAATGAAAGAGATCAACCAGCTTCAAGAAAAGGTCATTTGTGTTAACTTAATACTTTTTTGTATGGCTTATAATGTTGTTTGACTGGACGCAAAATTTTAAAAAATGTTACTTTGACTTTACGTTAGTGACAGTGAAAAATTAAATTAAAATGATGATTGAAAAGTAGATTTGATATGATATAAATTTTAAAGAGTATCACATATATCAAAGCTTAAAATTTGAGCTATAAAATTGACTGTCATATTTTCACTTTCATAATATTCCACAAGGCTGAAGATATTGTATAATCTACAGGGCATACAACTAATGGAAGAGAATGAAAGACTGAAACAGCAGGTAAGAACACAACTGGAAAGTCTCTTTATTAACTGGTGGCAGGGTTTGCAGCTGGCAGTTCGGCGGGATCCGGGGAAGGCCGGACCACATTGAGTCATGTATATGCATGCAGCCTTACCTTGAACTTTTGCAAGAGGCTAATTTCTGCAGTTTGAACACGACGCCAGCTTTTACTGTTGCATCAAGGCTTCCCTTTGTACGTACTGATATAACTACTGCGAAATCTTTGTGTAGGTGAGGGAGATATCGATCAACAGCAGCGAACATCCAGCAATTGTAGTAGCAGTTGAATCAGAAAACATATATTACGAGGAACGTCAATCCTCTGAGTCTGTCAATAATGCAAGTAACTCTACTAGTCCCCCACCACTAGAGGACCACAGCTCCGATACTTTTCTAAAGCTCGGGTTAGTTCCCTCCCCCCCTCTTTTTTATATAGTGATCATATAATTTTTTTATATATATAATCAATGAATTTTAACATGTGATAGCAAGTTAGTTATCATTTTAACTGAGTTTCCTATTAAGTTTATCATAGACGTGTTTTTTCTTAATTTTCTTTTGCTATGACAGGCTGCCTTACCCAGGCTGAAGGGGAAAGGCAAAATTAGCTAACAGTCAAAAGCAAGGTCACCATCTTCTGTGTGCAATGTGGCTGACTGAAAATAAGTACCGACTAACTACTGAAATGTGGAATGTAAAAGCTAACTCAAGAAATGTATATGTGTGACTACCAACTATTGACAACAGTTGGAAATTGATATTATGTCATTGTAATGTAACTTTTTCTTTGTGAAAGTATCTATCTTCGTCTCAAATTTTTTGAGTCTATTCAATGTCACACTTTGGTGATAGTTCTAATGAAAACTCAGCAATCTGTAAGTGATTTTTCATTAAACCACTAGGTTTTTAGAAGAGAAATGCAAATTGTTCTATTGTTTAAATCAATAAAATAAACATGAAAACAGATGCAATACATTGATTCAGAATAAATCACTTGCAAAAATACAATCCCTAATAGCTAGATCTTGATCAAGTCTACTCCTTTTTCGATTTGGAGAGAGCTTTCTTTCTCTGTCCGAGCATGTAACCATACATGTGAGGACTACCTGCAATTCAGAATATCATCTAATGAATACATAGCAAACTAATCAAAATCTAAAACAGAAAGGAATACTGCGAAAAGTTAAAGAAATGAGCGTGCATGTGAGGCTTAGAAGGAGATATTTTAGTGAAAGGATACTTGCCTGGGACATAGATACCGAGGGCAACAAGTCCTGCATAATAGTAATCGAAAGAGAAGTTCCATTTGTTTGGCATCCTAAGAGAATACTTCTCAGATCCCTGGAAAAATATAGTTCGATTAGAAGACAGACCACGCATATAAACTGAACGATGAGAAGCCGAGGCAAGGAGCAGAACTCCAAGTACAAGAGTCCAATAAAGTAGGTATATATAGATGAAGAAATTATGTGCGAGTGTCTCTGAGAGGCTAAGATAAAAACTATAAAGCAAATCAGTTTTTATTTCAGAACAGGAGGGGGAGGAGTGCGGAATTTCCCACTTAATTTCTGAAACCAAAAAATAAATATATGATAGAAAATATTCAAAGGAAAAAGGACTTCTCAAACTCTTCAGAATCTAATGATGCTTTTAGTATATGACTTCTCATTTACTGTAACTTGTATGAGTCGAAAGGGAGACATGTTGTCTCGGTACCTTGATGTAAGGCAGGGCGCTATATATTAAACCAACTTCACTTGTGATGCCAGTAGGATACAGCAACATGAAAGTACTATACCTGCACGAATAAAATCAATACCTGAAGATCGGTCTTTAAGGTGCAAATCAGACTAAAAAAGAACCTGCTAGAGAAGGCATTTGCCACCACTAGAGAACAAAAAATGGGTGCAAATCTGATGGCTTGTCCGTTCATATAATAGTTACTATTTTAGTCCCATAAGTGACACACTTGTTAAACCATCTTACTTTTCCTTCTCTTTCCTATTTCTTGTCACTTATTTCACAGTTCGTATGTTATCGATCAATTTATCACTCAATCACTGGCTACCTCTCTTCCAAATTGAATCTTTCTTTGGATACTTAACCATGACTAATAAGACCAAAAGGCTAACTCAAATGAAAGTTCAAAATGGTTGTCTCTGCGTTTAGGAAAAAAATTGTTGCGCTAACCAATGATATCAATAAGAATATGAGTGTCTCTGCGTTGGATTGTTATTTGAAAAAGAAAAAGGTGGTTCATTTTAAAAGGGTCAAACTTGGGTTGATGGGTTTGTTCACAACAGTTTAGCCCCAACCTATTTATCGCACGAACTCATTTACCATGCTCACAAAGTTAAAGGATCATACCTTAGCCACAAGAGCCAGGAAGGTGCAGAACCGAATGCCTCTTTTGTCCCGAAGAATGAATATCGGATGATCTGAAGTTTGAGCAGAAAGATCATGCCAATTATCAACATGTTACTTACACATGAATAGATTATACTTATCAACACAACTTTTATATATGAATACGACCATTTAAGCACTCATGAACTGGCATGGTTATGAACAGATATAGAAAGAAGTTAGTGGACAGAAAGAGAGGGAGGAGAATACTGATACAAGCACTTGTAAATACATGCATCATGCAATGACAAAATTCAGTCTGATGTGAACAAATTTATTGAGTTAAGGAGGATGCTTTAAGTCTGACCTACAAGCTTCTATGTTAGCTACATGGAGCAAGGATAACTGAAAGGTATTTTTAGGTAAATTATGACTATTAAGTGGACTATTAGACCTCAGAAGAAAACAAATGCGTCAAGACTCGGTGAAATAGTCGATGCGTGTGCAAGCTGGCTTGGACACCACCGTCTTACAATCATGAACCATCAAATCTTCCTAAAGATAGAAATAAATGCATACGAGGTCAGATGTTGTAAAGAATCTATATCTTGTCATTTGTCTAGCCAAAAAAGCTCGCTGCTCTTACTGCTACCTCCGAAGCACAGAAGCACATCCATCATAATCATTTGAGTGCCAATTCATTGAGAAATCAAAACTTAATGTAAAGCTATATAAGACTAGAAAAGAATGAGAAGAAAATAGTAATGTCAATGGTTTATATGAAAAAAGGTGTTCTTCAGCTATGCATACTGTGACGTTTTTACAAGTAAAGAATAAAGAGAATCAAGGCGCAGTTAAGAATATCTTCTCCACCTAAAATCAGAGGCGTCTTCAACGTAGTTTCAGTTGCAAAATTATAATAAGATGGATTCACAGCAACAAGGAGTGGTGGAAAACAATTTCTCTACACTTGCAATTACGTGGTACCACCATAAGCCTCAGGTATTTACTTTCAGTTGTTCAATGTTCTCTTTTCTTCACTCTTCAACTAAGTATAGTAAACAAAATACAGAAAGAGCATATCTGGTCAGAGAACTGATATTTTTCTATTTGATTAATAAAGTGATGCTCTGACTATTGCAGTTATTGTCGGGAGACTTAATAACTCAAGTTACTATAAATAAACATCTTAAGATAAAAAAGTTTGAAGCTTATGAATAAGCAAGGCTCACCTCCGTTATAGACCAGCTAATCACTAGAGAACTGACAAGTATATGAGACCGGAGCTGCATCGACAATCCAATTCATTAGTAAAAAATACTTTTACATTGTCATGTAGAAATCAGAGGAAAATAATCAAGCTAACCTCAGGGAAACTCCATAAAATACCCCAGGTTACATATAATCTTGAACTTATCTGTGGAAGAGTAGCTGATACTGGAGATCTTACCAGACCTAGTTAAGGTTGAAGAAAAATGGAAAGGTTATTTAAGTGCAAAATCTTCTCGCGGGCTTATTTAGGCTTGTGATCAAGTAAACTTACCCACTAAACCATGAAGAATCTGTTCCGCAGTTCATGTGAAAAAGAAATTAACAAGTTAGCATCCCAGTCCATTTGCATTTAATGATAATAACACCATACAAAAAAATTTAAATCACTATTTCTCAGCAACAATTAATTACCTCAAAATCGAATAAGAAAATCCATAAGCATATAATATGGGAAGGGGGACGGCACAAACAACCAACTACATGTCGGTTACAGCTAAGAGGGCTTAGCTACATGTGAGTTGCAAGAAGGATATCCAATGAAACATCTCAAAACTATTTTAAAAATGACAACACAGATTGAGGGAGTGAGCTAGTATCGTTATCAAGTTCCGAACTACCTCTTGTTCATTCATTAGATTTAAGTAACCATTATTAATGATTAGAAAGAAAAGCACTGTCATTAGACACAGATCTTATAAAAGTAGGTATCATCTTTTTGAGTTTATTTTTCCACCAAGCTGCATTAGTGCATTATTTTCACACTCTACAAAAGAAAAAGTTCGGAAATTTGGAAAACGAAAAATTTGCAATAACATAAAAAATATCTTTTGGGAATTCTCCAAAAAATAGCTTTTAGCAACACTACACTTAACTGACTATTCTGGCCAAATACTAACTCGTTCTAACATCTTTCAGCTACATCCCTTTACAATTGCCAGATTTGACCCAACATCTTTGAATGAAAGCAGATCTAATTGGTGTAATTTCCTAAAATAGATATCTCTCATACCCATTAAAGATTCAACCTTTTAGGAAAACTGACCCATGAATATGAGTGATGAGAATTTAATGTGTCATCAACCACATTTATCAACTATCATATATCATACCCAATATTTATACAGAGAATAAATAGCATTCAACCCCTTCCCCCACCCCAACCCCACAAAAACAAACCCAGCTATTATATACATTATTATAAAATTATGCGTTTAAGTTCCGTGCATTCATAGTGTAAAAATTATTTACATAATCAGGTCACTTATTACATAATTAAAAAATTTAATTGGTGATCTCGTAAAAATGACAACTGACCTGCTATTACAGGTAAAAATTCACTAATAGCATAAAATAATCTTTACACTGTCAGTATGGATAACTTAAATCCTAAAAACATAGCCTTGGTGGGGGTTTACCTCTAAAATGGCAGCGGTTTGAGCTAAAAGCAGAGGCTTTTCTACAGCATCATAAACATGTTCATGCCCTGACTCTTTCAGTGTTTTCACAGCAAGATAAAACACTTGAAACCTGAATTTCCAGTTACCCAATTTATATACAACAGATTAGAGTAATAAACAGAGAGAAATCAAATCTGCAGTTAACTACTAATCAAAAAACAAAAAGCAAAACTGACAGCAAATCAATCAACCAACCAACTACATTTCAAATCCCAAAATTTTCATATACTAGTTCATTCGAAGTTTCGAACCAATAACTTTGGCTCGGAACTGTTCTGTATATGTGTTTAAAAATCCAATAAATAAGAATAAAAAATAAGTTTCAAGCCAAAATAAATCTAATGAGATATGGTAGAATTCCAAACTCGAACCACAACGTTCAAATTCTGGATCCGCTTCTAAATATCTCAGGCGTCAATGTAGCATGCGACTAGAGAAAACAATACTCCATACAACAACAACAACAACAACAACAACGACAACAATAACAACAACAAATCCACTGAAATCCCACAAGTGGGGTCTGGGGAGGGTAGTGTGTACGCAGACTTTAGTCCTACCTTATGAAGGTAATAACGGCTGTTTCCGATAGACCCTCAGCTCAAAAACAGAAAAGGGAGCAATAAACAAACAGTAGAATCAACAAGATAATAGGACAACGGAAGCAAATGGAAAATAATAATAGAAAAAAGAAAAAAAGTGGGGATTGAACATACCATCCAAAAAAGACAGTCCAATTGTAAAGGGTGAGATATACACGTCTAAGAGCAGATAAAACTCCAGCCATTGAAGCACTTCAAAAAGCTTTAAAACTCTAAAAAAAAAACGAAGAAATAGAAATAATTCCAATTGGGTCTTTGAAGAGAGAGCTAATTATGAGTAATTAATTGGTGTAGGTGAGTTAGATGAACTACTATTAGATCTGCCACAGAACAGTCAACAGTATCACATTCTTTGATTCTCAACTGTCAACGCTCAGCGGATTGATTGCTATTCATTCAAATCTGGGAAGCTTATTAATGGTGATAGGGGAAAGGAAACGATGTCGTACGAAATGGGTCGGATTTACATCTGGGGCACCCCCATATTTATGGTTAACAAAAAGAGTCAAAGTCACATCGAATTTCCTTAAGAAAAGGCACATTTCTGGAAATATTCGAAAATGAGATGTGTAATTTCCTGATGTAGTGAAGTAAAATAAATTGCTATTTTTAGATATTAACACTCTGTCACTCAATCTTTCTTCTTCTTTTTTTTCTTTTTCTTTATTTGGGATTGAACGTGATATGTTTAAAAGATTTTTATTTACACTAAAATTACTATAGTTACTTTTGTCGAAGAATACAAAGTTGTCCAGGTGAAAATTGCCTTTTAATTAACTGGCGGTTAGGACGTAAGAAGAGTCCAAAACTTAATTAATAATTTTTTGAACATAAAATACATTTTTGATGTTAAAAAAAAAAAAGATACAATAATGGGTATTTTGCAGTTTTATACTGCGAATTGGCTTAACGGATCTTTTGCCGGTAAGACATTTCGCAGTATAAAACTGCGAAATATTAAAAAAATAATTTTTTATGACATTTCGTAGTACAGTACTGCGAAATAGGCTGATTTTAGGCCCCACCAATAATTAACTGACATAACAATAATTCAAATTCATAAAACGCAGTATAATACTGCGAATTACTTTGAAAAATTGTACACCCCAAGGTCGGACTTGCCTTATTTATAGGCGCTTCAATTTTATAAAAATTCAATCAACACTTAAACTTCAAACATACGTTTATTCTCTCTTCTCCTTATCAATCAATTTTTTACATAGTCTGAAGTGCCAAAAATAAGGGTTTCACTGTATTGGGGGGGTGAGATTGTGGTGGAGAATAACTCTGTGAGGTATAGCTCACCTCCACAGTGTCATGTTAAATTGCCGCTTAATATGGAGTGCAATACATTGGTATCGTTGTTACGTAAAAAAATGAGTGAGCGGAGGCGTTCGGTTAGCCTTAAAGTAACCGGTAGATTTCCTTATTCAGTGACTCCGCAGGGGTTTGCTTATTATTCTGAGTTTAACATCGAGGATGATGAAACTCTTAGAGATTTTTTGCGGATTCCGGATGAATACAGGGAATTTATTGTAATAAAATTATTGGAAATGTACGTCAAGGTGGAAGACGTTCCTAGTAATGAGGGCGTGCATAGCAGGGATAACCCCCAGTCATCGGGTGGTTATTCTGGAGCAGCGTTTGCCGGACAGATTGGAGATGAAAGAGCTTGCCTTGATTTAAACTTGTCACCACAGGCGAATGAGCAGCCAGAAAATAATGTTTCCACTTTATATAATCAACAAGACGACTGGTAAACTTCAATTTTACTACGTTTTAGCGATTTTTTTTTCATGTTTTAATTGGATTTGTATTAACACTCATATTTTTTATAGGGGGTACCGTCCGGATTTGAATTTTACAAGTTATGACCTCGCCCCTAGTTGGAATCTGCGTAGGTCTGGAGTATTGGACCACGGTGGTCCATCTGGGAGTTATCACCAACCTGAAAATATCCATCATGAAACGTCAAGACAATACGATTTGTAAGTAAAGTGATATAGCGATATCTAAAGTATTTTTCCTGAGTATTGGGTAACTTAGGTTTTTGTTCGTTTTGTGCAGTGAAAACGAGCTTCTTGAAGCTCCTGGCCTCACACAGTTGCCCATAGACGACGTTTTTACTCGTGATTTGGCAGATGCGCAGAGTCAGGAGGATGATAGTGATTATGACAACAATGCGGATGAGTCTGGGGATGAGACACCCTTCCATGATGAGGGTGATGATGAGGAGGAGGAAGTGAATGTTGAACCTGAGCTGACTAGGGAGCATGTTCCTCCACCTCCCGCTAGACCAAGAGTGTATGAGTCCCACGTGCCATTTCATGAGCGAAATATTCCCTACCTTGATAATTTGCCAAGCATGCCTAACGTTGATGCCCTAACAAGGGATGATGATGAATTACGGTCAGTGATGTGGGATGAATCTAGACCAGCTGTTCTTACAAAGGGCATGTATTTCCCCGATAAAGCTCGCCTAGTTAGGGCTGTAAAAATCTACAGTATAAGGGAGTGTCGTGAGATGACGGTAAGTGAGTCAACTACGGAGAAATACAAGGCTGTATGCCGTAGGTGGTTTATGGGTTGTCACTGGATGCTGCGTGCCACAAAGAAGAAATCAGGTTTGTGGAAAGTGGGTAAATTTATTAGCGAGCACAGATGTGAAATGGACACATTCAATGAGAATCACTTCAACTTGGATGTGGACTTGATTTCCCTTGTCTTGATTCCATTTTTGGAAGTGTCCATTAGGTTCAAGATTAAAGAGTGTATTACAGCCGTCCACCAGGAGTATGGTTGTACTATAACCAAAAGAAAGGCATATCTCGGTCGCAAACGTGCCTTTGAACTTATTTATGGCGACTGGGATAAGTCTTTTTCAAATCTGCCCAGGTACATGGCTGCACTGCAACACTTTAACCCCGGGACTGTTGTTGAATGGAGGCGTGAGCGAAGTCCGGACAGACCGGAATATATATTCAACTATGTATTTTGGTCATTTAAACCAGCAATTGATGGTTTTGTGCATTGCCGTCCTGTAATTTCCATAGACGGTACTCATGTCTATGGAAAGTATGATATTAAGCTTTTGATTGCAGTTGCTGTAGATGCCAACGGACAAATATTTCCACTAGCTTTTGCCATTTGTGCCAACGAAAGTGAAGAGACGTGGACGCAGTTCTTGAACCACTTGAAGCAGCACGTTGTCAAACAGCGTTCAGGTATTTGTCTAATATCTGATCGGCATGGTGGTATTTTAAGTTCTGTACGTCACTTGCCTGAATGGCAGGAACCATATGCATACCACCGTTACTGTGTGAGGCACCTGAAGGCCAATTTCCAGAAGAAATTTCCTGACAAGGCGTTGCATGACTTAATGTGGATGGCTGCAACTGAGCACCAGCAGTGTAAATTCACGAGGCGCATGGAAGCGATCCGGCAGATAGAACCACGAGCCTATACTTGGTTGATGCAACATGACCCTCAAATGTGGACATTGCATGCTGATGGCGGCAGACGATGGGGAGCCCTCACTACAAACGTGTCGGAGTCATTCAACGGCTTGTTGAAGTCTGCCCGTGGACTGCCTGTCACTGCCATGGTCCGCATGACTTTCAAACAGAGTGCAGAGAGGTTTGTTGAAAGGCATGCAGCTGCATCGTCATTGATGGACAGGGGTGTTGAATTTATGCCAATACCCATGACAAGATTTGAAAGGTACAGGAGGCGGGCACAGTGGCATTCATTTCTTCAGTATGATCATGAACGGGGTGTTTTTGAAGTTAAGACCGCTATCAACGGACACCGTGGGAATAATCTACAGACGGTGAATGAAAATAGAAGGTTATGTTCATGTGGGAAATGGACCATCTACCACATGCCGTGCCCACATGCATTGAAGTGCTTTCAACAAGTTGGATATGGGGCAACAAACTACATTGATAGGCAATACAGTGTTGCAGCATACGTAGACACGTATAGTGGGAAGTTGCATCCATTAGGTGCTGAGCATTATTGGCCGCCGGAACCTTTTAAGTTGGTATGTAACAAGGACTATTTGCGCAAGCTGAAAGTGCAAAAGAGAACGCGTATACGGAACCAAATGGATGTTGGTGAGTCCGTTTATGCGCGTAAATGTGGCATATGCTCTCAAACTGGACATGACCGTCGTAAGTGTCCTTCAGGTGGTGGGCGTGGCGGTGGTAATCCTGGTGCAAGTTCGTCCAATGTACCCAACTATCAAGCATACCCCTAGTCCTTTATTTTGAAAAAGCTGAGAAGCATGTGAAAACCCTGTTTCGTGTCAGGGTCATTTAATATGTTATTCGTAGTATAATACTACGTTTTGTGGATTTGACATGTCCTGCTGAAAAAGCTGAGAAGCACGTGGAAACTCTGTTTTAAGTCATTGAAATTTACTATGTAATTCGCAGTATTATACTACGTTTTTGTTTGAAATCTTGACTATAAATAACGGTTGCATGGTACTTATATTCTTCGCTTAACAATAACCAAAGTTTCTCTATAAGAAATGTCTGCACAAAACGTTTATGTCCCAAGGTGCTACTGCGGAGAAAAATGCAGTTTGTTCAAATGGTATCCAGAAGGTGCACGCCGCTACTGGGCATGTAAGAACAAGCTCGAGGAGTTACCCGGCAAGCCTACATGTGACTTTGAGGTTTGGATGGACGAACCATGTAAGCAAAAGCGCTACAAAGAAAGAATTTATGAGCTTCATTGTTTATGTCATAGCCAAGCGGAGAGCGAGCGTCGAACCAATGAAGAACTTGAGGCGTTGAAGGCCAAACTCAACGAGGCAGAAGAAGAGAAAAAAAACCTGGAAGAGCAACTCGAGTTGTGTGGAGCGAATTGTAAGACACGATCGTGATTAAATAGTAGCTTATTTTTAATAAGCGTAGTAGTGTATTTTCATGTTTCCATTGTCATGTGTTTGTAGCAGTTGTACTGTCATGTATCTTTAGATTTCCCGCTTTTGTGTTTGTGTTTCATTTTCTAATAAAATTCATGTTCAAATTATGTTTCTTGTTCAAATTCTGTTTCAATAAAAAATATGTCGAAATATGCAAGTCTAAAGCTGTCATGTGGAAATTTAAAATGTTATGTCGAAAACCATGTGAAAAACCTGTTTCATGTCAGAGAAATTTAATATGTAATTCGCAGTATAATACTACGTTTTGTGGAGTTGTCTAATATGTAATTCGCAGTATTATACTACGTTTTACGGAGTTGTCATTTCGTTCTGAAAAAGCTGAAAAGCATGTTGAATACTGCGAATTTGTGTCAGAGAAATTTAATAAGTAATTCGTACTCCAATACTACGTTTTATTGAGTTGTCATTTCGTTCTGAAAAAGCTGAAAAGCATGTGAAAACCCTGTTTCGTGGAGTTGTCATGTCTATGTAATTCGTAGTATAATACTACGTTTTGTGGAGTTGTCATGTTTGTAATTCGCAGTATA